GGCTGGTCTCCCCGACCCCTTCCCAGCCCGGTATCCCCGGCCATGGGGGCGCGGCTGGTCTCCCTGACCCCTTCCTGGCCCGGTATCCCCGGCCACGTGGGCCCGGCTGGTCTCCCGACCCCTTCCCGGCCCGGTATCCCCGGCCATGGGGGCGCGGCTGGTCTCCTGACCCCTTCCCAGCCCGGTATCCCTAACCTGGCTTCTTGAGCTTGAGCTCTTCCGTCTGTTAGATTTACCACCTAAACAGTCACTTGCTCTCTTCCGGTTCTTGAACTCATGGCAGGGGTGCGGGGATTCCCCGGGGACCGGCAGCCCCCCCATTGTGTCCGGGATTCCCCATGCCCCTGGCGGGCGGGCGCTGGAGTGCGCCAGAGTCAGGCTCTGCCCACTGGGCCAGTCCCTGGGCATGCGCACTGTGTCCAGTTCCGAGCTGAGGTGGGTGGGCCCCCGGGTTTCCCGGGGTGCTTCCTGGAGTGAAACACTGCCTCGTTGGGTCCGGGAGCTTCTGCTTTGTCAGCCCACAGTCCTTTGTTCTCCTAAGTGGATCTGTTCTCTGTGGCCGCTCAGGGGTGTCAGAGGTGGGGGTCCCTGCAGGGTCCTGCTGTACTCCTGGGGGGCTCTGGACCCTCCTCCGTGAGGCAGGCGGGGGCGCAGCGTGCTGACACCAGGCTGATGTGGCCCTCCGTCACCGCTTGTCCCAGGAGGCCCGAGGTGCCCACTGTCTGGGCCGCCTCTGGCCCAGTGCTAATACGGACGGCAGGTGCAGTCCCGGGCAGAGCAGGGGGAGAGCAAGGCGCGGCCGGCCGCCTGGGCTCCAGACGCTTCATCGTCCGCCTCCTCGTGGGTCTGCCCTGGGGCCGCGGGCTTCAGAGCAGCCCCACACCTGTGTGCCGGGGCCGGGCAGGTGCTGCTTACTGAGCTCCTGATTGCCGGGTGCGGAATCTTCACACGCATGCACACACCCATACACACACGTTGTTAAATGTGGGGGGATTATTTGCACAATCTGTGGTAAAGGAATGGAGGTCAGCGGATGGCAGCTTGCCTGAGCCCCAGCTCGGGGGCTGGGCGGACACCTTGCTCATGGGCCCTGCAGAAGCAGAGGGTACCTGAGTGCGGTGGGGGGGCTTGGGGTCCTCTGTGTCTCCTGCGCCAGGCCCGGGGTGCGTCTTCAGCCCTCGGCACGCGCCTGCATGCCTGGTCATCAGGACAGCCACGAGGCTTCATGTCGTAGGTGCTGGGCCCTGGAGAACCTGAAATGACTCAGACCCACTCGTGGCCTGTGAGAGGCTCTGTCTGGCGGCTGAGACCTGCAGGCCGCCTGACCGGCCGCAGGAGACGCCAGTGGTGACGGTGTGGCCAGCATGGCCAGGATGAAGCCGGCGAGGACGCTGTGACTATGGGATGGAGCCAGGTGCTGGCGCGAGTGGATGGAGAGGCAGGGCTCACAGGATGGGCTCCCACGGGTGAGCGGGGTCGGGGAGGAAGGGGCTCCGGTCACAGGATAGTGTGTGTGAGGACACAGGACAAGGGAGAGCACGTGAGGCTGGGAGAGAAGAGAGGGAGCAGGGACTGAGTCTGGGCTGTGCTGTTCGGCCCCCATTGTAGCCTGGAGCTCTGGGGGTCACAGGGACTTTGGACATCGTGATGACAACAACTAAGTAGGCTGATGTGATGAAGGTTGGGATGGAGGTTAGTTAGATACACAAGCAGGTGGCCCTGTCTGTGGAGAAGGCCCTGTAGGAACTGCGATGGGCAAGGCCTAGGGCAGGGGCGGGGGCAGAAACTTCCAGGCCCACACAGTAGCAAGTGCAAAGGCCCCGGGGCAGGAATGGACCTGAGGATTCATTCCTCAGGGGTTGGAGAGAATAAATGTGAAAGAGAGTCAAGATAGAAGACAAGGTGGGAAGGTCAGCAGGTCACACGGCCTAGTCTTTGAAGAGATTGGGACCACCGGGGACCTGGAGGTGGAAAAAACACAGTATATGTATGTATAGTATTACTGGAACCATCTGGAAATGGACTAAGGAAGGACACAAGTGGAAACGGGGAGACCGGTGGACCGTGAGATGGTGGTAGAGCAAGAGGCAAGGGGAAAGGAGTAGGGTCCACTTTGGGGGTGACCCTCTGGGTGATTATAGGAGAGAGGAGGGGAGTGAGAGATAGGTCCAGGGGGTTCTTAAGACTGGCAGGGGTCCTTTAATGATACAGGGGAGAACTGGGGAGGGGATGTTTGGGACCAATCAGTTACCTGACAGATTCTGGCTGTGGGCCATCGAGGGAGATGCCCGGTGGTGGCCTCTTGGACAGCCGTGTGCATGGGACTCGGGCTGCAGATGACAGGCGGGAGAGGGCCCTGGGAACTCAGAGCCCGGGTGAGGTCGGCCAGGGCCAGGGTGTAGACGGAGAAGCTCGGGATGGGCTGAAAGGGGTGGGGAGACAGACACTGGCTGGGGGACAGCAAATGGGGTGGGCTGGGAAGGGGCCCTAGAACAGAGGCCGTCTCTGGGCTGAGCTTGGAGCCACGGGTGGGGCAGGGGGTGGCACCAGGCAACATTCGCTTGACCTCTGTGCTGATTCCCCTCCGGCTACGTGTGGTACCCCTCCCAGCATAAGGGGTCACAGCCCCTGGGTTCCTTTGTCTGAATAGCAGGGAAGCCAGGGTGGGAAAGGCCCGGAGAGAATGGTAGGAAGCTGGCCAAGCGTGGGCTGAACCCTGGCATCTGCTCAGGGAGGGGGCTGGAAGGGAACACACTCAGCACGGCCCAGCCAGCTCAGGCTGGGGGTGGTTAGACACAGAGGTGGCCTTCAGGACCGGCTGCGTCGAACCTCCTGTATCTCAGATGTTGGGGAGCTGGGCCTGGAGAGGGGAGGGCAGAGGGAGAGCCGAGGCTTGGGGTTCCGACTCGTCCTCACCTGCGAAGTCGGCATGTAGCACCACCCCGCATCGTCCGTGAGGGTCGCCCGGCTCACTGCTGGCAGTCCGTTCATTCCAGCAGATGTGACACAAACTCCAAGCTCTAGAAGTCAGACTCGGAGACGACTTAGGGAGCAAGCGCTCAGTCCAGTCAAAGGGAGACCGTGGGCAGGTTTGCAGACGAGGGGCAAGCCGCCTGCGTGGCGGGAGCTCCCACCATCAGGAGCACTCGGGCACAGCAAGGCCCCGTGAGCGTGTGATGCCGAGGGTGAGAGTGAAGACTAGCTCTGCGGCGGTGACCACGGAGCCCCAAGTCTGACTCCGCCAGGTGGGCGACGCCCGGCCTCCGGCGCCCGGGATGCAGCCCGCAAGGCTCCTTTCAGCAAGGGTCGCCGAGCCGCCACTGTGCCAGGCTGTGCCAGATGGCCGTAGGCGGCCGAGAATGAAGCTCACAGCCAGCCAGAGGCGCCGCGGGGGTCACCAGCCCCCCACGCGGCGTGGGGGCGCGCCCCAGCCTGCCCCACTGAGCTCTGTGTTTCTTCAGTGGAACTGTTAGGACGTTAAAGTGGTTAAAGTGGGGCTTTCAGAGATATTCTTGAGTTTGTTCTTAGTCATTTCCCTTTTTAGAGGATTCCAGAATCCACTTGAAAAATGCGTGAATTTTCAGGAGGTCATTCTGTGGTCTTGATACTGGGTCTTTGTCTTCCCCAACCGGTAGGAGCCTCCTCGTCCCCCAGTTTTGGGTTCTGTGTCCGTGGGAGTTCCTTTGCCAAGAGCCAGGGGCGGTGCAGGGGAGGGGGAGGGCTCCCCAGATCTAGGTGGTGCCAGGAGCTGACCCCCGGCCAGATGTTCTCCCGTGCCCAGCCCCCAGGGGGCGCCCTGCACCGCCCTGCCATGACTGCTGCTGGCAGGGAGCTGTAGGGCAGGGCTGGGGGTGGGCCCTGTGCCATCCTGGGGATCTGGACGGGCACCGGCCCTGCACTACACAACTCAGGGCCAGTGACCCTGCCCGTGTCACCCCCAGTGTCCACGAAGGACCTGATTGAGACGTGCTGTGCAGCTGGACAGCAGTGGGCCATCGACAACGACGAGTGTCTGGAAATCCCCGAGAGTGGCACCGAGGGCGACGTGTGCAGGTAGGCCCCGAGCGAGCGGGGCCCTTCCCACCTCCACACCCGCTGGCCTCGGAGCGGGGTGGGGGGCCCACAGTGCAGGGGGCGTGCCTGCCGCCCCACCTCTGGCGCAGGGGCGGACAGGATTGGCTGCCGAGCGCAGGCTGGCCACCTTCAGGTGTGGGGGACGCTCCGTGGGGCACACTGCAGTCTCTGCCAGGCGCCCGCCCCCTGCCCCCCCCTCCGCAGCCTGGAGCTGGGCTTCTCCCCTCTCTGCTGCCCCAGGGCCTCCAGGAGACTCCAGTGTCTTCACAAAGGAACAGTCAGGCCCGCCCATGCCCCCCTGAGCCAGGCCCGAAGGGCTCTCGGCCAGCCAGTCACCCCTCCTTTTCAGAGAAGCCAACCTACTCATTTTTCCAGGAAAGGTTCAGAGAGGCGACGCCGTGCCTTGGGACACGCAGCAGGGTCTAGCTGGTCCCTAGTACCCAGCCCGCCCGCCGCCACTCCCGGACAGGCTTCCGTCCTCGTCCCTGTCACTGTCCCTTCCCTCTGTCATCCTCCGGTGGGGCCACTTAGGGGTGAGAGCCGCGCTGCTGGCCCCTGGAGCTTCCGCTGACCCTGCCCCCTCTGAGCTGGGAGCCGCCCAGCTTCAGGGATCGCGGGCCGCGCCCCAGGGCCAGGGTAGCCCCGCCGGAGCGCCCCCTTCCCCAAGTGACCGGAGCCAGCCCCCGGGGCCGCTTCCCGCCCTGGCCGGGTCCTGCTGCTGCTGTTTCCACGGCTCCGCCCCAGGCAGCCCCGGGGAGAACTGGAGGCCCGGCCAGCTCCCCCCGACACCCGCCCAGCCGTATGGGACCGTGTGTCCCTCTGCTTCTTGGCCCTGGGGGCAGCTTCAGCCGCTGAACCCCTCCTGGCCACAGACACTGGCCCTGAGTCCTCTGGGTTCAGGCCGGAGAGCACCCACGGACCGGCGTGTGGGGGCGGTGTGTGCTCCAACATCCCGGCCCTGCTGGCAGCGGGCCCCGCCCGGCGGGCTTCCCTCCCTGGGCCTCAGTTTCCTCCTCTGGAGTGGGAGCTGCCCTCCCCGAGCAGAGGTGCCCCGGGGGGCTGACACGGGCCTCTGCTGCAGGACGGCGCAGAAGCACTGCTGCGCATCCTACCTGAAGGAGAAGAGCTGTGTGGCCGGCGTCATGGGGGCCAAGGAGGGCGAGGCCTGCGGGGCGGAGGACAAGGACACCTGCAGCGTCTCCCTGTACAAGGCAAGGCAGGCCTGCGCCCCCCACCGCCCCCCCGGCCCTGGGGGCGGGGCGGGCTCCCTGCGGGCTGCCCTGGCCTGGGGCGGGTGGGGTCTCCATCCGCACAGCAAGCAGGGTCAGCTCCCACCCACCCCCTTGGGGGCGGTCATCGAGCACCAGCCAGCTGCCCCGACTTGGCGCAGGGGCGGGGGGTGCTAGCGGAGGGCCCCTGCCTTCACGGGGCCTCTGTAGCGGGCTCAGGCTGTCACGGAGGTGGGCGTCAGCGTGGTGCCCTGCAGAGCGCACACCCAGCAGGGGACACAGGCGACGCGCTCGCCCCATCTTGAGCCTCTCCCCGGGCTGCACCTGGGGGCCCCGAGCCGGGCCCGGGGGAGGCAGGGGGGCCCGAGCCGGGCCAGGGGAGGCAGGGGGACCCCGAGGCAGCAATGCTGTGACTGCTGTGGCCTGGGGCTCCGCG